ACTGTAAGCGACGTCTGTCGAACTCTCTGTGTTAGCAGAGAGGAACCCGGACGAAGCTTTGCCGAAGGGCAAGGTTTCGTCCGGGGAGGTAGACAGGGCCTGAACCCGTCTAGGCGGTTTCAAAGGCTATATTTTTGGCCGAGCATACGGGCTCGGGGATACCCACATTAAAACCGGCCTTGTGCCATATTCGGTTCTCGTGGGTGGATCGATAAATACTAAGACAGATAGACCGAGAAGTTCTTAGCTGAGCTAGTGATTGACTACTCAGGCGGTTTCTGTACCTATTTACCAACCTATTAAAACCCTTTTTATTGTTACGTGTTATGTGGCGTTTCTCTCTACTAACCCCAAATCAACATCATAACAGTGAGTTATTTTTCTGACTGGTTACATGCATTGTGATTCGAGATAGTACCGGCGAATCGAGTTTTCGGCATTTCTTTCTGCCACCCGATATTCGAGTCTGTACTTACAGTGATTTTTTCTTTGTGTTGTGGAAGTAATCTGCGACAAATACTTCCTTGGCTTTCAGAACACTTACAGTTAGAAAATCCAATCTACTCTGGTATACAAAGCCATATCTGGTGGAAAAATAAAAATGGCTTCTTGTATTTCCCACTGCGGTGTTAACATTTCCACGATTATTAAAATATCCCGTTTATTGGAAACGGCACGTTTACTTAATAAATAAAAACAGCAGCGAACTGCTATTTTAGACTGCACGTGTATTTTGTACCAAAGTGTAGGTTGAAGAAACAGTAACATGGTTTTATTACAATTAAACATCATATCCAATGAGATGCCCTTTTACTGGCCTACGAGGACAATCAATGTACCCCCACTCCCATGGAAGATGAGGAAAAAATATTACCAATAATTCCCAGCGCTGCGTTGGAAAAAAGCAGAATAAAACCCGTGGGTGGACATTTCACCCCCTCTAGTGTCAATCGATACAAAGAAAGAAGCAATGAATAATAAAAGATACACTTATTTTTTCAAAATAAATAAATAAATAAAAATGCTGATTTCGAATATTCGAGAAAAGTGCAAAATTTCAAACACGTTCAGTGGACTTGAGAAATCGACTTTCTTGAAAAGATATTTTAACAGATCACGACTTGTATCAGAAAGATGAAAATTAAATTTTTATTATTGCATTATTCCAAAATTTTAACACATCAGCAGATAGCTTTTAATGCCAACAACTGAGCACAAATAGTTATTAATTAAAAAAATAAGTAATTAATGTGTAATTAATCCATAGCTATATATACACAAGAATGTCGATTTTGATAAAAGTTTAAAAAATAACTGTAAATCCGTAAAAAGTGTATATTGTCGAAAATTCCTTTATCCACAATATTGTTATTTGTGCTATATTATAATGCTTATTACCTAAACAATAATAACACTGAATATTTTTTAAACATTAAAGTATATGTCCTCAAGAATACATGGCACAGTGGATAAAGGCGTTGGTTAGATCCAATGACTGGACCCAAAGAGTGTGAGTTCAATACCCGGTTAAGGCAGTGGGGAACTTTCAGAGGGAAATTGACAGGAAATAACTGACATCCATTAAACATGGAATGTGGAACTAGAACAGTCTACCCCAGTGAACGAAATAAAGGATTCAGTTAGACATTCCAGTATAACGGCCGAAACGTTGTAATAAATATGAGGACAATAGTCCGAATAATGTAAATAATGTACATAATACCTCATCTCAGAAATATAGTCATATACAGTCCAAGAGAGTTGATCATTCTTATTGGGCGATACATGCAAAGGGAGATAACTCATATCAATTAATAAAGCATGTTTACTTTTTCTACTGAACCTGAATCTCCTTTTTTTAAACATTAAAGTATATTTAATCACATCTCTTTAATAGCTGTCGTGATCTGAAAGAAAAAAGATATAAATTTCAACCAACAGTAATGCTAACTTTCCGATCAATGAATACCGAAATTATTCTGTATAGAAACAGTTGATTTTACGATTGCCATTCAACATCCTGGCAGAATATTCATCCTTTTTACAATTTTAGAGTGATTCATACAAATCTAAACTATCAATTGCGTAGAAGAGTCTCCTTAGATCAATGATTAAAGATAGTTCCTTTATCAGAACACATAGACTGGCACTACATACTCACAAAGAATGAGCTTGACCAAATAATAAAATAATATATTTAATCGTAACAATAATATTAGATGTTTCCTTATAAGGAAACATTTGGAATTCATTGACCGAGCAGTACTGTCAGCTGAATTTTTTAAATTGTTTCTCTTAAAACAATTTTTCAAGAAAACTGGATTCTCATGTCCAGTAGCTGTTATCGCTCTTTCCAGTATTGATGGGGGTTTCCTTCCTAACGTTTTATTTGAAGTCGTGTGGAATGTCTGCATGTTGATTATTTCATTATTTTCTCTTCTAGTTGCATATGATATCCATTTTAGTTGTTGCTGCTTTTGGTATTCTTCCAGTGATGTAGTCCCTCTTATATGGTACAGTTCTTTGTTATACTGTAGCGCCAGTCCACAATGTCTAAAGCAGGACGCTCTTTGTCAAGACCCTCAGGTTTCAATCGCTCAAAGCCATTTTTAAACAATTGATCTTGCAAAGTAGTTGTATACAGATGACATTGCAGATATGTCTGAACGATATTCATTTATACAAGGTATAAAATGTGGCACAAGGCCTAAAAGGGTGTGGGGGAAAGACGGTGTTCTTCTGTCTTAATTCTAAACTTAGCTAGTCCCAGACACGGACCCAAACATACCAACAATGTTCCAATCACCAAAACAACGCAATCACTCATACCTTTCTTACTGCGTCCACCATAATTGTAGATATGTCTGAACAGGTTTGACGCCGTGAATGACATCCATATAAAAGTCTCTATCTGACGATGTTATCTAAGAACATAATTAGTATTTTCATCTTGATGTTTTGGATTTTTACCATTGTGCGGTGTTGGGTGAAACCACTCTTTGTGTTATACCATAATACCTATTCTATTGTAATAGACCCTCCCACAGATAATAAGTAGTAGTAGCAGTTGCCAGTTGGGCTCAGTGGCGTCGTCCCGCGGTGAACCCGTTTAATTTGACTGCAAACGCCTCCTGTCGACCTCTATTTTGGGAAAACGGGAAAACCTACATAAAAACCGGCCTTGAGTGGGTGAAAAGACAGTGGCGTCCGCGGTCTTTGCCGAAGGGCAAGGTTTCGTCAGGTGGAAGGCCTGAACCCGACGGCCAAAAAGGCTATATTTTGCCGAACGGGCGGAAAGGTTTCGTCCGGGGAAAAGATAAAGCGTCCGGCCTGAAACCCGTATAATCGGCTTCAAAAGGCTAGGCCTTTTTGGCCGAGCCTACGGGCTCAGGAAAACCCACATAAAAACCGGCCTTGTGCCATATTCTTTTCCGTGGGTGAGAAGATAAATACTCAGTGGCGTCTCGCGGTCTTTGACTGCGCACGCCTCCTGTCGACCTCTCTGCGTTAGCAGAGGAACCGGACGAAGCTTTGCCGAAGGGCAAGGTTTCGTCCGGGGAGGTGGACAGGGCCTGAACCCGTTTAATCGGCTTCAAAAGGCTATTTTTTTGGCCGAGCCTACGGGCTCGGGGAAACCCACATAAAAACCGGCCTTGTGCCATATTCTTTTCCGTGGGTGAGAAGATAAATACTCAGTGGCGTCTCGCGGTCTTTGACTGCACACGCCTCCTGTCGAACTCTCTGCATTAGCAGAGAGGAACCCGGACGAGGCTTTGCCGAAGGGCAAGGTTTCGTCCGGGGAGGTGGACAGGGCCTGAACCCGTTTAATCGGCTTCAAAGGCTATATATTTTTTGGCCGAGCCTACGGGCTCGGGAAAACCCACATAAAAAACCGGCCTTGTGCCATATTCTTTTCCGTGGGTGAGAAGATAAATACTCAGTGGCGTCTCGCGGTCTTTGACTGCGCACGCCTCCTGTCGAACTCTTTGCATTAGCAGAGAGGAACCCGGACGAGGCTTTGCCGAAGGGCAAGGTTTCGTCCGGGGAGGTAGACAGGGCCTGAACCCGTCTAATCGGCTTCAAAGGCTATTTTTTGGCCGAGCCTACGGGCTCGGGGATACCCACAATAAAACAGGCCTTGTGCCATATTCGGTCCTCGTGGGTGGAACGATAAATACTCAGTGGCGTCTCGCGGTCTTTGACTGCGCACGCCTCCTGTCGAACTCTCTGCGTAAGCAGAGAGGAACCCAGACGAGGCTTTGCTGAAGGGCAAGGTTTCGTCCGGGGAGGTAGACAGGGCATGAACCCGTCTAATCGGCTTCAAAGGCTATTTTTTTGGCCGAGCCTACGGGCTCGGGGATACCAACAATAAAACCGGCCTTGTGCCATATTCGTTTCCCGTGGGTGAAATGATAAATACTCAGTGGCGTCTCACGGTCTTTGACTGCGCACACCTCCTGTCGAACTCTCTGCTTACGCAGAGAGGAACCCGGACGAGGCTTTGCCGAAAGGCAAGGTTTCGTCCGGGGAGGTAGACAGGGCTTGAACCCGTCTAGGCGGGTTCAAAGGCTATATTTTTGGCCGAGCCTACGGGCTCGGGGATACCCACATTAAAACCGGCCTTGTGCCATATTCGGTCCTCGTGGGTGGAACGATAAATACTCAGTGGTGTTGAGTGAGTCAGTCGGTGTCGGACATGGAAGTATCAACCATCACAACTAGATTGCTGCGTCATTAACTCTTATTTCAAGTTCCTAACGTTTTGTACGTCGAACCTAATTTAGGACGACTTAGTGAAATACAAGCCCCCACTGTGAAATCTACTCTACAACACTTTTCAGGTTATTTAAAGCCGGAAAATATTTTTAGATGATAAGTTGTTTTTTTTTTTTAGATAATAATGGTCTATTGATACAAAACTTACTAATTAACCCATAGCTTGGGGGCGTAGATTTATACCATTCCTAAGGGTATTTGGGTGTAAGTAAACTAACCCAAACTTACAAAACCTGGAATTCCCAGGCGGTCGCCCATCTAGGTACTAACCAAACTCGATGTTGCTTAACTTCGGTGATTGTACGGGAACAGGTGTTTGAACGAGATGTGGGAGTAAGCCAAAATGTTAAGAAAGAAACTCCCGCCAGTATCCGCAGATGGAGCACCAGCGATCATCGGAGAGAGAAAGGGGTTTGTTGGATTGCTCCAAGAACTGATTGGAATTGATCACAGACTAATCAAGCTTCATTGCATTATGTGCAAAGTCATTGTGTTTTAAGTACATCATGACAGTGGCTGTGAAAACAGAAATTCATCCTGTCGAGATGACTAAATCAATGGCATATTCAATAATTTCTTTAAAAGATTGTGGCAGAATATGGCAACCTTACATATTTTTCAAATGTTCGATGTCTTAGCCATGGAAAATGCTGGAACTGTTATAGGCATTGAGAGATGGGATTTCTTTGTTTTTGGAGAGTAAGCACCAAGATAATTCTTATTTTCAGGATTTAGATTGGATTGTCAACTGTGCCTTTTTACTGGACATTATAGCCAACATGAACACGTTCAATCTTGAGCTGCAAGGCAAAAACAATCTTGTATTCGAAATGTTTGATAAAATTACAAGTTTTAAAAAGAAAAAATACTTCAACTGTGGGAATCACAACATCAGAAAGGTAACTAATCTCATTTTCCAAATCTGCAAAATTACAAGAGAGCGATAATACCAGACATGTTTGTGAGCTTCATTCATGACTTGCGAAGCGAGTTTTCCTCCCGATTCGCTGGCTTCCAGCAATATGGCAATCAATTTAAATTATTTGATATTCCTTGCGGAACATATGTGGAGCAAGTTGCAGAAAAATATCAGTTAATCGACTTACAATGCGAGGAATTTTTAAATCAAAATTTTATTCCGAACCCACTACTGACTTCTACAAGAAATACGTTTGGCCAAACGGAAAATATAAAACCTATTGAATAATGCGAAAATGATGGCATACAAATGCTTGGGAACAACTTTTTGGAAAATGAAATATATTAAAAGTCGTTTAAAAACAAGGTTGGGATGATCACCTGGATAATGTTTTGCTCTTCTCGTTGACAAATATCTCACCTGATATAGAGGAGTCATCGTACAGTAAGTACAAACAATTGACTCATTAAATAATTTGCCATTTCTAACTGTATTAGCAGCATGACCCGGCATTGCCCGTGCTTGATTCAAAAGTCATACGGCAATCGCTATCACTTGACTTAAAATATTTTTGACTTTCCTTGCCTTTAAAGGAGTGCCCTTTTCCGTGCTGATGTTGCTACATGCCTTACTTCTTGCCTCTCTCACACTGCGATTTTTTTTTGCATGCTAGCATGCTAGTTAACATTCGTGTCAGTCAACTGTTGGCTCTCATGCTGGCCAATAGAATCTTCCTGCCTATTCGTGGCAGCCAGCTATTGGCTCTCACTCTGGCCATTACAAAATCGCCGCAAACTACATGAAAACTGCCGTAGAAGCATGAAAAATTCGATTAATTCCACTATCAATGGGAGTTGGGAAATGCAAAGTTGGTCTTGGCCTTTTCCGCTAACTTGGAGCATGTGCATGTAAATTTTGGTGCAAATCCGTCGAAAATTGCGGCCGTGCATTCGTTACGCACACACACACGCACACACACACATCCTGCTTTTTATAGAGAGAGATTTTGTTTGTAGTAAGGAATTTACTTTTTTTTTTTTTTGATCGTGTTAATTGTTATTTTTTTATTCCTGCAGTAAAATAAGGAATTTTGTTTCAATAATATAATATTAACCTTGTTGTATTGTTTTGTTTTGTTTTTTTGGGGGGGGGATTTTTTTTCTTTCAAACTCCAGAAAAGGCAGCCTACTCCAGGGAGCGGCCTGATGCCGAGAAAATTAATTATAGTACATTTTATATGGCCCTCCTCCGAGACGTCTACCCTCTCGAAAAAGCCGCTCACCCCTGTTCTAAACTGATTGCTAACCAAAACAAGAGATCCCGTCTACCCTGCTATTTAACCCAGAGCTAAGAGGAGTGATTGATTGCTAACTTTCCTTAGGGCATTTATACGAAACTGATCACGAACGCCTCGGCTATAACCTCACCTCGGCTAGAGGAATAATTCTATTAGTCTTTTAACTCTGTGTTGCAAAGTAATAAACGCTCTAATCAACTCTTAATTGTTTAAGCATCTCATCTTACACGGTCTTCTTTCTCAGTCTGTTCATATCTATCTATCTATCTATCTATCTATATATATATATATATATATATATATATATATATATATATAGATAGATAGATAGATAGATAGATGCCAGTCTGTTCATATCTATCTATCTATCTATGCCAGTCTGTTCATATCTATCCATATATCTATCTATTTCAGTCAGCTAATATCTATCTATCTGACTCTGTTCATAACTATCTTAGACTTTCCACATCTATCTATCTATCTATCTATCTATCTATCTATCTCAGTCAGTTCATATCTATCTATCTATCTATCTATCTATCTATCTATCTATCTATCTATCTCAGTCTGTTCATATCTATCTCTCCCAGTCTGTTCATATCTATCTATCTATCTATCTATCTATCTATCTATCTATCTATCTATCTTAGGCTGTTAATGTCTATCTCACTCTTTTCATATCTGTCCGTTCATATTTATCTGTTAATATCTATTTCTCTCACTCTGTTCGTATCAGTCGTTGTTCATATCTATCTATCTATCTATCTATCTATCTATCTATCTATCTATCTATCTATCTATCTATACCAGTCTGTTCATATCTATCCATATATCTATCTATTTGAGTCAGTTAATGTCTATCTATCAGACTCTGTTCATAAACTATCTTAGTCTTTCCATATCTATCTATCTATCTATCTATCTCAGTCAGTTCATATTTATCTCAGTCTGTTCATATCTCCCTATTTCTTTGTTCATATCTGTCTATCTATCTATCTATCTTAGTCTGTTAATGTCTATCTCACTCTTTTCATATCCGTCTGTTCATATCTATCTGTTAATAACTATTTCTCTCACTCTGTTCATATCAGTCGTTGTTCATATCTATCTATCTATCTATCTATCTGGCTGTCTCTGTTCATATCTATCTATCTATCTATCTATCATTTTACTTAAGTCATGGAATCTGAGAAACGTAGGTGATTTACTAATAATATTCTTTCACATTACCTGAGAATTACCATGACTTATTTGGAAGACAGTGAAGAATCAAAATTTTTACTCTTCATGTTCCGAGAGCCTCGTCTTCCCAGCATTTCAGCATAGCTGGCGGAAGAAGAAAAGTGATTTGTGCATTACTCAAGGGCATTAGTGTGAAAGCGAATGGAATTGAATAGACCAGTTCAATTTTCCGGGTCAATAACCATACATTACGTCTCGCTATTACAGGTTAAATAAATATGGCAAGAAACCATTCTTGTCGCATTTTCTTTTTCTATTTTGTTCTTAATTCGTTTGTCTAATAATTGGCATTCTTGAATATTGTTTTCAGCATATCATTAAACCCTGTTCTTCTTGGAAAAGGCTTCTTTGTCGGTACATATTGAAAGAACTTTCATGTATAATATAGGTGTAATTTTTTTTCGCAATTGACATTCCTCCACGTAGAAACTTTGAACTCGAAATCGGTGCCCCAAATTAATTCCCACAAATAAAACCAAAGATCTTCTACATTTGATAGATGCGAGCGTTCCAAGCAATTTTTCTTGACTGTGTAATTTCCAGACCCATACTTCATGTATTTCAAAAATCGATAAAAAGAGAATTCTTTGGAAACATTTTAGTGTGCCAAACCTCCAAGGCTTTTCTCTTCCATTAAATTTTCTCACTGCCTTCCTTGAAGAATCTTGACTTGGCTTTCTTTCTTTTTTATTCCTGGCATTTCTGTCAATATAACAGATCTGATGAAGAGAACACATTACCATTCTTGGGCAGATTTGGAACCACACAGCAATAATTAGCGCCCTGGTACTGGGATTTCATTCAAATACCCGTTTCCCCGGAAGAAGACACCCTTCTGGTAAGTCAAGTTGTATAAGATGCAGAAGTTTCTATTTCTCGATTGGCGATTCTAATTTCTATGCATTTTAACGAAGTCTAGTTCCATTTAAAATATATACTAGCAGCATGGCCCGGCGTTGCCTGTGCTTGATTCAAAAATCGTACGACTCATACAGCAATCGCTATCACTTGACTTAAAATATTTTTGCTCTTCATTGCCTTTAAAGGAGTGCCCTTTGCCGTGCTGATGTTGCTACATGCCTTACTTCTTGCCTATCTCACACTGCGAAATTTTTCTAAGCTCTATACTAAACATTAAATCTGTTACGAAAAAAGAACTAAACAAAATGAACACAAAACGATCAGCTTTAAAAAAGGACTCGTAACTGGAAAAACCGAATGAAAAAAGAATGTAAACAACAAATACTTTTTCACGCCAAACCAAGTTCTGCGGAATCAAAATCAACGTTGAGCTTAAGCAAGCGAATGAGCCAATTGGAGTAAAGTGCCATGCAGATTTTAATTTTTTCCACTTGTGACGAATGCAGCTATTGATTTTTTTTTGCATGCTAGCATGCTAGTTAACATTCGTGTCAGTCAGCTGTTGGCTCTCACGCTGGCCAATAGAATCTTCCTGCCTATTCGTGGCAGCCAGCTATAGGCTCTCACTCTGGCCAGTAGAAAATGGCCGCAAACTACATGAAAACTTCCGCAGAAGCATGAAAAAATCGATTATTTTCACTATCGGTGGGAGTTGGGAAATGCAAAGTCGGTGTTGGCCTTCCCGCTAACTCGGAGCATGTGCATGTAAATTTTGGTCCAAATCCGTTGAAAATTGCGGCCGTACATTCGTTACACACACACACATCCTGCTTTATATATATTATATATATATATATATATATATATATATATATATATATATATATGCTTCTTTTCAAAATCTCATTTCGTAAATCTGTTTTAAGTACGGATTCCATCAAAGCTTCTCTCCTTAAGGTAGGTAGCTGCTGCCCCAGCGTTGGAACCGCCGGTACCTCTTTAAAGAAACGTAAACTGCAGGAAGACAAAGAATTAAGCAATGGTGATAAATGAAGCCCTGCTGCAATATCTGGGCTGGAGGCGGTGATGATTTTATTTTCACACAACACCCCCCCTCCCAAGCCTTGGAATCCCTTTTGGATTTAAGACTGGCTTCCTATATGGGTTGATGATTATGGCTATTTCTTTGTAGATCCATTTGCAAACTTCATATGCATATGTCCATCCGCTTAATTTTAATATTTTTTTCCGTTTTGGATTCACGTCCAATGGGTTCGTGAACTTTCGTTTCCTACCGGATCTTCTCGGTTCAGGAGTATTCTGCGGAGGTTCTACTTGAAACATATCATACATTACCTCAATGGGATCTTCCTCCTCATCCGGTATACTCTCTTCATGCTCTATAACGTAAAATTTTTTAAGTTGATTCTGGTGCCTTTTATGAGTATTCTTCGGCCCTTTAATTATGTAAATCAGGTCACCGATTCTCTTGTCCACTATGCCTCGCTCCCAGAACTCAACGTTGTTTTTTGTAGCACTTGAAAAACACCTTCTCTCCGGAGGTGTATCTTTTTTCTCGCTGTATACATAGTATTCTTTACTCTATTTTTCCTGACAAAAGTTTGTCAAACACTGACTTAACTTTCCTAGCGAACATTAGTTCAGCTGGTGCCATGTTTGAGTGTGTTCTCTGGTTTGGCGTGATTCTCTATACTTGTAGGAATTGCTGAACGCCTTTTCCGTTGGAACTCCTGAGGATTTCTTCAGAGCGCGCTTTAAAGTATCGACAAATCTTTCTGCCAGTCCATTGGACCTCGGATGATACGGCGGCGTCGTTATGTGGTTAATTTGATATAACTCACAAAATTCCTTAAATTCTTCAGAAGTGAATTGTGTACCATTGTCACTCACAATACACTCTGGCACACCGAACCGTGCAAATAGTTCATGCAAAAAGTTGTTGTGGTATTGGACGTAGGCTTTTTACAGCGTATTACTTCCGGCCATTTTGTAAAACTATCTACCACTATTAAGTAGTAAAATCTTCTACTGGACCAGCGAAATCAATGTGTAATCTTGTCCACGGATGATCCGTCTTGGGCCATGGTTTTGTGTACTATAGGTGGTGCCTTAGCTGCTAACGCACACCCTTTACATCGATGAACCATGTTTTCGATATCCACATCCATTCCTTTCCAATATACAAAGCTTCGCATTAAGCTTTTTGTTCTATTAACCCCGGGTGACCCATATGAAAGTCCCGTAGTATTCTTTTCTGCACTTTTTTTGATACTACTACTCTCTCACCATATAATAAAACTGCTTCACCTATTGAATAAATCTCCTGCACTTTTTGGTCATTTGCTACCATTTTGCTTTTTATTTCTAAAATGAAATCATCGCTTTCAGCTTCTTTTTTAATTTCCTTTAGTGTAACCGGTAGCTCTCTTACAATGTTGTTTACCATGCTTTTCACCTCATAATCTGCTCTGATATTTGCAATAATTGATTCTTCGAATCTTTCTTCTTGACTCGGTACGAGTCTTGATAAACTATCCGCATGAATTATATTTTTGGATGATAGGTGCTTTATGTGAAAATCATAATTGAGAAGAATGGTTCCCCATCTCAACAGACGATTTGCCGTATAAACGGGTAACCCTTTCTTTGAACCAAAAATAGTGATCAGTGGTTTATGATCCGTTTCAAGCATAAAATGTCTGCCGTGGATGTATCTGTGAAATTTTGTTATGGCAAAAATGATACTCAACGCCTCTTTTTCGATTTGTGAGTAACTTCTTTCTCCTGGGTGTAAAGTTCTCGAAGCCTGTGCAATTGGTTTTCTAAAACCATCTGGCATTAGGTGTTGAATACACGCTCCTATCCCGTATGAACTGGCGTGACTTGCCACTACAATATCAAGTTTTGGATTGTAATGGGTTAAAAAGAGTTCGGACGTAAGTATTCTCTTTATTTCATCAAAGGCTTTCTGACATTCTACCGTCCATTCCCATGCCTTGTCTTTTTTTAGCAGTTCATTCAACGGAGCTCTTAGATTGTACATTCCTTTAATGAACGCTTGATAATAATTTGCAAGCCCCAGAAAACTCTGTAGCATCGCCACATTAGTGGGCGTCGGCATGTCTCTAATCGCAATGGACCTTTCCGGATCTGGAAATCTGCCTTTTTTGTTGATTATGTGACCTAAATACTTAATTTCCTCCAAACCAAATTCGCACTTTGACTCTTTGACTTTAAAACCAAAGTCCTGAATCTTTTTAAATACTTGATTTAGATGCTCTCGATGTTCGTCGACGGTTTCGCTCCTTACTATGATGTCGTCTAAGTAGGCGCACGCAAAGTCTAAATCATTCAACATGACGTCCATAGTTTGTTGAAAAATGGCTGGTGCCACTTTAATACCAAAAGGAAGCCTGTTGTACTTGAATAACCCTCTATGCGTGTTTATCCCTAATAACCTCGAACATTTCTCTTCGACGGGAATTTGGAGATAGGCATCTGATAAGTCGATTTTTGAAAATATAACTCCACCATTTAGCTTGTTAAAAATCTCCGGACTCGGTAACGGGTAATGGTAGTCCTTAATTACCGAGTTCAACCCTGTCGAAAAATCAACGCAGACTCTGACTTGGTTTGATTTCTTTTTTATGCACACAATCGGCGCAGCCCATGAATTAGATTCTACTTTCGAAATAATTCCCATTTTTTCCAACCTATCAAATTCTTCGTTAATTTTCTCTACACTTGCGAAAGGCACGTTACGTTTCTTTTTAAAAATTGGCATAGTATTTTCCTTTAATTCAAATTTAGCTTCAAACTTGTTACATCTTCCAAGACTAGGTGTGAAGGTTTCCGGAAACTTTTTCTTTAATTCATCTTTAATGTCCTGTCTTGTTTGCGTATTACTTTCTACTTTTCTACAGAATGAGTTTAACGGTTTATCCCACAATTCGAATGTTTCAATAAAATCTGTACCCATCAAGTTTCCTCCATTTTTCAGAATGAGAACTTTTATTTTTTTAACTATCCCGTTCAATTTCATGGGAAGTACAACCTCGCCTTCGAAGTTAATTTCCTTTCCAGTTACCGTTCGAGCGCATTTCGTTGACTTCATTATTGTAGGCCTTTTTTAAAATTTTCCATGTTTTATAGTTCATTATTGTTAAATCTGAACCCGAATCGAGTTGAAATTTGATATTCTTTTAAATATTTCAGTCGTCACATACTTCCTCAAATCTCTATCTGATTTTATATTTGAATTTGTTTGTCTAATTCGGCTATTGACTTTTTCGTTTTTACAACACGATCCTTTGTGTCCATTCTTGTGGCACACGAATCATTTCTTATTTCTATATGGGCAATTTACCTCCCAGTGTCTTTCGTTGCAACGTTTATAATTATATAGTGGAACCTTTTTTTCCTCCTCGTTCTTTTCATTTAATTTTTCTTGTCTATTTTTAATATACGCCGAATTTTTACTCCAATTTTTTGACTGTTTTTTTTATTTTTTTAATATAAGCAATGCCAGCTTCTTCGATTTTTTGAGACTCTTTCTTTAAACTTACGGCCCGCTAACACTCCTCTGCTAACTTTTGTAGGGTAAGGTTTTGTTCAGATTCGAGTTTAGCCAAAACTCTGCGTCTTATTTCGGCACTCTTACTGGATACCAGTCCTTGAGCAAAAATTAAACACTTGAATTCTTCAACCGTAATCTCTGCCAATCTGAAATTGTTACAATGTCTATTCACTATAGATGCACATGTTAAGTAATCCTGATCGTCGGATTTAGCGACATTCATGCATAACCATCGCTTATGCCAAAGCGACATATTTGCTCCAAACAACTCCTTTAGCAATTTCACTGTTTCCGAGAATTCCAATTCATTTGTTCTTCACGGTAGAATAAAATCTACAAATTTGCTATGTTCTGCTGTACCTAGCTTTCTTAGTAATAGACTGACTTTTCTTGAATTCGACCAGTTTTCACAGTCTGTGTAGAAAATATCTTCATATCGTTTAAAGTACGCTTCAAACGTTTTTTCTTCGTCTGGCCCATAGTTGAACGTTTCCAGCGAATTAAATATGATGTTATTAGAATATGAAGAATTTCCTTCATTTGCCTGATTGTTGTTTAATTTCTCCAGTGTTAACTTTTGAAATTCTAAAACCTTGATCTGCATTTCTTCCTGTTTTCCCAGTCTTTCCTCTTGCTTTTCTTGATATTTTTGCTGTCTTTCCTCTTGCTTTTCTTGATATTTTTGTTGTTCCCTTATTAATAAGGCAAACTGTTCACTTTGACGTTGCTGACTCAACTGCTGGGATTTGAATAATTCAGATGTGACTTTGGATAATTCATCCATCTTTTGCTGATAGTGTTCATGCAACAAAGAATATACTTTTAATTTGTGTATCCACGGATATAATATAATCTGACCAGAAAAAATCGAAACAACTTACGACTTTTTTATTTTGAACAACCAAAAAAAAATTTTTTTTTTTTTAAAGTTCGTTACCTTTCAAAGTCGACACGATGTATTTGTGCGCCTTTTAAATCCATGCATGTTTTTGTAGTCGGCCCGTTTTTTTTTTTTTTTGTTTTTTTTTTCGTTTTTTTTTTAAATCCCCGTTATTCGTTTACGACCCTTTCAAATTTTTCTGAGTGAACGTTCCTTTATGCTTAGTCGTCCTTTAACGAGTTCTAAATATCCAGAAATTCAGAATCCTTCGCCGTTCCATTAGATGTTGGACTTTTAATTAATAATTTTTTTCCTTCAGCCTGGGTTCTTCAATGACTTGTCCCAATTGTTGAAGGCTATCAATTATCAATTCTATTTTTTTTTTTTTTCGTATAGTTCTTTCTACCTCGTCGCCATTGTTGAAACTTGACTAATGCATGGAATAATAATGCAACACAAAAGGTACTTAGAACAAAATGTATTGAAACAAGAAAGTGTACACAATATTTACATATAGTCTTTTGTATATTCCTGGTAAGACCATTCCTGGAGAATGTGTTGACTGAGTCGCAGTCGGGCAGAGTCTCTAGATTGAATCTCTTGATTCCTCCCCTCGTCTTCCCGGTACCAACCATATTTATATGGTCGGTACTCCACTATGCAAATTAGGTGGATCCTACCACAACACTATCTTTCTATCTATTTCTTCATATTTCTTTCTATTTCTTCGTATCTATCATTCTATCTATCGATCTATTTCTTTATATTTCTTTCTATTTTTCATATCTATCTAACTACCGATCTATCTATTTCTTTCTATTTTTTCGTAGCTATCTATCTACCTACTTCTTCTATATATATATATATATATATATATATATATATATATATCTTTCTATCTATTTCTTCATATTTCTTTCTATTTCTTCATATTTCTTTCTATTTTTCATATCTATCTATCTATTTATTTCTCCACCTTACTTTCTATTTTTCGTATCTATCTATCTATCTATCTATTTCTTCATATCTCTCTATATATTTCTCCACCTTTCTTTCTATCTATTTATCTATCTATCTATGTATCTATCTATCTATTTCTTCATATTTCTTTCTATTTTTGTATCTATCTATCTATCTATCTATAAAATGACATATGCATGCATTTTACGAAAATCTACGAAAAAATGGGAAAAGTAATTCGTGTGATGCATTTCATCCTTTCGAAATTTATGTGATTACACTGAAATTTTATTTTTTTTTTATTTTCTCAGCCTCCTCACCTTTATACACATGTGTAATTGTATCAACGAAAACTTCATTTACAGTCACACAACGACTTAATTCAATAAACCTCTACCTGCAGTGATTCTTGGGCTTTGCATTGTGTGATCAATTAGTAAAAAATAATCTCAATCTGTCCATATCTATCAGTCTATCTATTTCAGTCTGTTCATATCTATCTATCAAAATCTGTTAATATCTATCTATCTATCTATCTATCTATCTGTCTGTCTGTCTATCGATCTATCTAAGTCTGTTCATATGTATCTATTCCGTTTGTTCATATCTATCTATTCATGTTCACCTCTATTTATCTCAGTCTGTTCATATATATCTATCGATATATCTCCGTCTATTTCTATCTATCTTAGCCTTTTCATATTTATCTGTCTATCCATAGACTTTTATCTATCTATCTATTTATCTATCTATCTATCTCATTCTTTTCATATCTATATATCTAGCACGAAGTCACAAGTCATTGTGACCGAGGGTTTGATTATGCTGGTCAGATTGCTGATCATTCAAGATAACACGCTCTCTCCCAGAAACCGAAACTAAGGTCTGCTCAGTATAGTTTCAGTATAAACCACAGGTTGGCTCTGTGGGTGATGAACAAGCACAAATGTGCCTAAGCGAGAGTCTGCAATAGGGATTGGCTAGTCGCCCTAGTAGACAGGTATCCTCGAATACAAGTGGCCAACTATTATTAGCTATCTGTATGTTTTTTTTTTCTATCATTTTTCTTTTTTTAAGCGTTTCACCCCAAGCAAGGCGGGAAGCCACTAGGACGCAAGGGGTTACAGAAAATTTGGAGCAAGATCAGATAGGAGTGATAGAAGAAAGGATGAGGAGAAGGGTAGTGGATAGATCAGGGCAACTGGAGATGTCGATTGACAATTACGTTTAAATAGTTGGAGATTATAGCTCTCAGGGAAACTGGAATAGGGAAGGGAGTTCCACAGGCGAGAGCTGCGAGACATGAAGCTATTGGTGTAGAAGAGACGGTTACATCTAGGAGCCTTGACAGTGAAAGGGTGAGAGAGGGATGCCAGCCTCGTAGGGCGCTTGAACTCATGACGTCTGGGAACCAGCGAATGAAGCTCCTCAGAGCAATTGCCATGAAAGTATTTGTAAAAAAAGACAGAGAGTGGCGACGGCGCGTCTGTGAGAAAGTGACTGTAGACGAGATGCCAGAGCAGGGCCAATTATATTGCATATCCGCCTCTGGAGCCTATCAAGAACCCCGAGGCAAACAGAAGGGGCTCCAGACCATATATGGCAGCAATACTCCATGCAATGGTCGAATTGTTGATTTGTAGACCTGGAGGATCGATTCCGGGGAGAAAAAATTCCTGGCGTGGCACGGGGAGTCAACTTTCTTTGTGTTGTAAAAAAAACAAATATTTTCTTGTGAATCTTGTCTGCGTTTATTTTCCTAAACGCAATTCTAAGAACGAACTGAATGAGGAATTTTATATCTGATTTCATTCAGATTAAATGAAAACAAATATTATTTTACAATCAATATAAGATCAGTTGAATTTGTAGAGTTGCGTTTGAAGATTTTACACATTTTAACACTATACAGAAGTTGTGACCCGCCGACTTTTCGAACACATCTGCAAATGTGTTGACCGGCCGACTTTTCGAACAAAACCGCAACCTTCAGAATTCCTTAATAATTCGTATCGTTTCAAGTAAGTACCTATCATTATCTACTCCGTCCTAAGTGGCCAGAGAAACAAACTTGCTAACCGTTACACCAAGTCAAAATGTCCCACACCACGTCAAAATGTTCATGTTCTTAGAATTACGTTTAGTAAAATGAACGCAAGCTAGGTTCATAAGCATTTTTTTTCTTTTTACAGCGCAAAAGAAAAAAATGGTGTTATTATCTCTTCAGTACTTTCTGACGGCAGAGCCCCAACTGCATATGAATACATCAAGTTTTGTGACGTTATTCGTCCAATAAAGAAAATCAACTTGTATTTGGTGGCACCAGATTATTGATCGGTTTGAGGTGAAGTGTGGCAAGTGGATCGTCAAGGTGATTTCAGATTCAGATGTCATGACGAAAACTTGGTCTGTAGGTTCATGGAACCGTTTGAAATACGAATTATTAAGGAATTCTGAAAGTTGAGGTTTTGTTCGAAAAGTCGGTCGCTCAACACATTTGCAGATGTGTTCGAAACGTCGGCGGGTCACACCTTCTGTAGAGTAGCAAAATGTGTATAATCTTCAAACACAGCTCTACAAATTCAACTGATTTTATTATTGACTAGCAGCAAGGCCCGGCGTTGCCCGTGCATGATTCAAAAATCGTACGACTCATACAGCAATCGCTATCACTTGACTTAAAATATTTTTGCCCTTCCTTGCCTTTAAAGGAGAGCCCTTTGCCGTGCTGATGTTGCTACATGCCTTACTTCTTGTCTATCTCACACTGCAAATTTTTTCTAAGCTCTATACTAAACATTAAATCTGTTACGAAAAAAGAACTAAACAAAATGAACACAAAATGATCAGCTTCAAAAAAGGACACGTAACTGGAAAAACCGAATGAAAAAAGAATGTAAACAACAAATACTTTTTCACACCCAACCCAGTTCTGCGGAATCAAGATCAACGTTGAGTTTAAGCAAGTGAATGAGCCAATTGGAGTAAAGTGCCATGCAGATTTAAATTTTTTCCACTTCTGACGAATGCAGCTATTGATTTTTTTTTGCATGCTAGCATGCTAGTTAACATTCGTGTCAGTCAGCTGTTGTCTCTCACTCTGGCCAATAGAATCTTCCTGCCTATTTGTGGCAGCCAGCTCTCACTCAGGCCAGTACAAAATGGCCGCAAACTACATGAAAACTGCCGTAGAAGCATGAAAAAATCGATTATTTCCACTATCGATGGGAGTTAGGAAATGCAAAGTCGGTCTTGGCCTTTTCCGCTAACTTGGAGCATGTGCATGTAAAGTTTGGTGCAAATCTGTCGAAAATTGTGGCCGTGCATTCGTTACACACACACACACACACACACACACACATCCTGCCTTTTATAGATAGAGATTGTAAAATAATATTTGTTTTCATTTAATCTGAATGAAATCAGATATAAAATTCCTCATTCAGATCGTTCTTAGAATTGCGTTTAGGAAAATAAACGCAGACAAGATTCACAAGAAAATATTTGTTTTTGGTTTTTTTTACAACACAAAAAAAAAATCAATTGTGTTAGTATAGAGAATAGCGTATGTTTGATATTGTCACGCGAAAAACCAAAATCTGCGCTCTGATACGTGCGCGTAAATAAAGCAGCCTGGTGGACGCTGTCACGCAGTCAGGAAAATATTAGCTCAAATACATCTAATGACAACAAAGTCAAAAATATTTTATGTTTTCTTTAGGTCGCTTTATGTTTTCGTAATATCAACCGGGAAAACTGGTTTCTAAATTACTTTTAAACCGAGTAATCATTCTATAAATGGAAATTTAGCACTCAGTGTTCTTTTGAGGAGTCGAAAATTGAAGAATCAGTATTATTCAAATCCTGGTAGACATAAATACTAGTTTATTCATTTAAATTACGCTATTTATTAGAAAATTTCGGATCATAGGAAGTTAAACGATAGATTTATTAAATTTAAAAGTTTTAGCGGTTAATACATGTATTTCCTAATTTCTAGTATTGATTGGCAGTACATTAGGATCTTGGGTATCCTGTCATCAGACATTCTGAAGACACGACCAGTCCACCGAATCTGAGACTGTATGATAAAAGTCTCGATTCTTCCAATATTAGACACATATATATATATATATATATATATATATATATATATTAGACCTATGTATATAATATATATCCAATATTCCAATATTAGACCTATGTATATATATATATATATATATATATATATATATATATATATATATATATATATATATATATATATATTGTGTGTGTGTGTATTTAGGCAGCATTTTTCATTAATATATATATATATAAGAACTGGGATTAAATACAGATCAAATATGGATTGATCGGAATCCGATAAAATGATGGGATAAGGAACAAATAAATCAAGCAAACATGTTCCACATTCGTCATCCTTTCATCAGAAAATGTAATATGGAGAAAAAAGAAGAAAACAATTCATGTATTTTTATTCTTCTATGGTTTGGTTTTTATTTGATAATCAGGCTTCACGTACATTTGATTTGTTTTTAAACAACGTTGGCATAATTTATTGCGTTCCGAATTCAAGGAGAGACGACATTATAATATATTGCGTTCCGAATTCAAGGAGAGACGACGTTATAATATATTGCGTTCCGAATTCAACGAGAGACGACGTTATAATATATTGCGTTCCGAATTCAAGGATAGACGACGTTCTAATATATTGCGTTCCGAATTCAAGTAGAGACGACGTTATAATATATTGCGTTCCGAATTCAAGGATAGACGACGTTATAATATATTGCGTTCCGAATTCAAGGAGAGACGACATTATAATATATTGCGTTCCGAATTCAAGGAGAGACGACGTTATAATATATTGCGTTCCGAATTCAAGGAGAGACGACGTTATAATATATTGCGTTCCGAATTCAAGTAGAGACGACGTTATAATATATTGCGTTCCGAATTCAAGGAGAGACGACGTTATAATATATTGCGTTCCGAATTCAAGGATAGACGACGTTCTAATATATTGCGTTCCGAATTCAAGTAGAGACGACGTTATAATATATTGCGTTCCGAATTCAAGGATAGACGACGTTATAATATATTGCGTTCCGAATTCAAGGAGAGACGACATTATAATTTATTGCGTTCCGAATTCAAGGAGTGAAGACATTATAATATATTGCGTTCCGAATTCAAGGAGAGACGACGTTATAATATATTGCGTTCCGAATTCAAGGATAGACGACGTTATAATATATTGCGTTCCGAATTCAAGGATAGACGACATTATAATATATTGCGTTCCGAATTCAAGGAGAGACGACATTATAATATATTGCGTTCCGAATTCAAGTAGAGACGACGTTATAATATATTGCCTTCCGAATTCAAGGAAAGACGACGTTATAATATATTGCATTCCGAATTCAAGGAGAGACGACGTTATAATATTTGCGTTCCGAATTCAAGGATAGACGACGTTATAATATATTGCGTTCCGAATTCAAGTAGAGACGACGTTATAATATATTGCGTTCCGAATTCAAGGATAGACGACGTTATAATATATTGCGTTCCGAATTCAAGGATAGACGACATTATAATATATTGCGTTCCGAATTCAAGGAGAGACGACATTATAATTTATTGCGTTCCGAATTCAAGGAGTGAAGACATTATAATATATTGCGTTCCGAATTCAAGGAGAGACGACGTTATAATATATTGCGTTCCGAATTCAAGGATAGACGACGTTATAATATATTGCGTTCCGAATTCAAGG